ATCAACACTGTGATACCCCTTAGGCTGACTGTTAACACTGTGATACCTCTTAGGCTGACTATCAACACTGTGATACCCCTTAGCTTGAATGTCAACACTGTGATACCCCTTAGCTTGAACGTCAACACTGTGATACCCCTTAGGCTGACTGTCAACACTGTGATACCCCTTAGGCTGACTGTCAACACTGTGATACCCCTTAGATTGACTGTCAACACTGTGATACCCCTTAGGTTGACTGTCAACACTGTGATACCCCTTAGGTTGACTGTCAACACTGTGATACCCCTTAGGTTGATTGTCAATGTAGTGATGAGTTCATCTTCTGAATAAATGAATGCATCCTTGAAAGTGCCTGCATTAAATACAAGGAGATTCTCAAGGATGAAACCGGAGATCAGCATCAATATAAATGTAGTCAATACAAATGTAGTCTTGTTATTAAATATTACAATCTGCTGGGGCTAAATAGAAAAGTCAAGGTTACTTTGACCTTCACAGTCAATAAATATATTGATATTATATTTACACTACTAGCAGTCTCATTCGGTTTTAATTACCTCATTCACACTTTAAAATGGCGTAGACATGTATGTGCTATAATCTTAATTACTTACACCACTGAATTTTTGCTAAAACAATCTTTTTTATTCAATCACCTAGCAGGAAATGACTACATTCAGATGATATCAATATACTTTGATGCTTCTTTTTATTGACAAGTAATGAAACTAGTTACGACTGAGTGTTTTTCCATGCATTTTCATGTTTCACATTTTTTTCCATTTGTAAAAAAAAACAAAAAAAACGTCAGCTTTAGTACTACTATAATTTTATCGGTAAATAAAATACAACTATAATGATTAAACACACTGACAAAATAAAATTTTCATTTTAATAATTTAGCCTCACCCCCACCTCAATATTTATTTGTGGATGAAACAGGTTTGTGATCCAAGTATTAAAGGGAATATAGGAATAGCAACTTTTTGTTTCATTCTTACTTGGCACCTGTAACTTCAATTATCGGTAATAAACTAGACGTACACATACTGGTTGGTAACAAATGATGTTATACTTAACCAGCCATTAGAGACAACTACCATCACTATAGCACAAAGTAGTACTAGTAAAATGTACCAGTAGAAATAGAGTAAGGTACTGCTTAGAACAGGGTAAAGGTATTACCAAAAGCGAGAGAAAAGAACGATCTACTAGGAACTGGGTAAAGGTACTACTCGCAACAGGGTGAGGTACAACTAGAAACATTGTAAGGTATGTACAAGGTAAAGGTACTACTTAGAACAGGGTAAAGGTGTTACCAAAAGCGAGAGAAAAGTACGATCCACTAAGAACTGGGTAAAGTCACTACTCGGGAAGAGTAAGGTACAACTAGAAACATTGTAAGGTATGTACAAGGTAAAGGTACTACTCGGAATAGGGTAAAGGCACAACTCGGAACAGGGTTAGGTATGTACAGTAAAGAACACATGCAATGGTTTTATTTCATAAAACATTTATGCTGTCCATTTCAAAGTTATATTAGCTGAACTACCTATGACATATCAAGAGGTTTCATATCTGCATTGACCAAACAAACTAGTATTTGTAAAATGACCCTTGACCTTGGTATACATTGTAGAAATGTTATTGAGAAGCACATACCATGATTGGTTGATTGGCTTGCGGTTTAGGGAAATGAACTTCCATCTCGTCATCTGTTGAGTCTTCTGGAGGGGGTGGTCTTGGTGGGGGGCAATCTTGCTCTGGTAGCGGCGGTCTTGGAGGTGGTCTCACTGCATAGAAATCACACAACACAGATACATGATAAAAACATTCTATGCCTATCGATGTTAATAATATGCTGATATAACATATACATGTAAGGTACCACATAATTACAGTGAATTTCATAAAGGCATAACTGTTTTTTTTTATATAAAATATTTATAAATTCTAAATGATAGTTGAAAGAGATCATAATGCATTGATGAATGCATGTCAGAATATCAAACTAATGATTGAAAGAAATCCGCAAAAACTCATGGGTAATAGATATATTCTTTAGAGAAACAACAAGGGTCTTCCAAGATGAATGTTTTATAAATATTTTATAAATTTTCGTAAAACATTCATTCATGCCTTCATTAACCTACAACCTTCTCAGTGTCAGTATAGTTATAATTAAATGTACAACATTGGTTCTCAATAACCAACCAGATACTAGTATACATCTCTATATGATAAACTGTATTGTTACATTTCAATGTCAGATCTACATTTCACCCACAAAAAATTAATTCAAGAAAGCAATTCTTGAAAAGGTCATTCAGATGTGAAAATTTTATGACTTGTTCATCAAATATGATACTACAGGTACATGGAATATGATTCAGATTTACACACTGGTTTATACTTCCTTAGTTGAATTCTGCTAAAATACCAAATAGAATCTTACATACATGTATAACTTAATTCCCTTTAAATTCTTATACAGACTAAACCAGAATTCAAATCCTAGAACCAGGACTAATTCCATTCTCATTTTTATACAATTAATAATAAAGTTTGGAATTAACAAAACTTATTTCAAGAGTCTCAGTACACATATATTTAAAAACAATAAACTGATATTTGCTTTTAGTAAAGTTTAACTTTATGAAAGAGAAAAATTCCTAACTTTGTGCTTCAAAGAAAATTGTTTCATAGAGGAGAATATTTTATGAGTGCTATATTTAGGCAGAAAGTTCACAGTGAATTAGTCAAAAAAGATCTCAAATTACAAAGAATTCTGACAGTGAAATCTCCTCAGTTACTTGTCAGACGGAACAAGGGGCAATTCACTGTCGTCATCCTTCTACATTTACCTTGACGCTCTGCAATTATTAGTCTTGTGCATAAAAAAAAGAAAATATTTTTATTGTGCAACTAAAAATCGATTACGGCTATATAGAAATTAAATCTGTTGACATGGTTTTAATCAATACAGAACAATAACTTATTGTTATTATTGTAACTTATTACGCTAATAATAATATGAAGAGCCGAAAATATATGATTCAATATTTTTGATAATCTTAAAATAATTAGTCTGTTTTTCAAATAGGTAGGCTAAATAATACAATATTTGCTCTAGCTCATTACACATAAAGGCCCATATGAATCAAAAACTGATTATTGAAATAAGTCTTGTTTTGACAATAGACATATTAATGTTATGGAGACGAGTGTATACATTACTAATAGATCAATTATATGTTTGCAAGTTTAACGCATACATCACGACAAAGATTTATTGATTTCATCAGAGAAAGTTATGTTTTTTAAACAATTAGCATAGCAACGCATATTTTAAGTCGGTCATCTTGAATCCATACTTATATCTCCATCAATGGTTTTCTGTCAAAATTTTCTGTCAGTCGTTAAATTAAAATGGAATAAAAATGTAGCACAGTATTAATGATTTTATGAAATTGTCAATATTTTAACTGAATTTAATCACTTTTATGATCTACAAAACCTATAATTCCCATATTTACTTTTAACATTTAAATTGAAGTTCAAAATAGATCATTGATCAAATTTGAAAACTCAATAATTTTATCACGATGTCATTTTCATGTTTTTAATATATTATAATTTAAAGTATTTCATTTTCTATTTTATATACAATAATATCAACTTTTTGAAATGGATTAATTTTTCATGTTGAATTCTTTTGCAGCATTTTTCACAGCTTAATTAATCTTTTTAAAATATACTAATTAATTTCAAAGACAATAATCAAAATATCGAAAACATTTATATTAAAGGTTTAGTGTTTTGAAAGGTTGAAATAACATTTAACATTTTCACCACCAGTTCCCTCTTTTCATCACAAATTCACAAAATAGTCACGTCTACAGTCTGCACAGTCCTTGAACCAAATATTGAACCAATTGAACCAAAAATAGCCAATTTTTTCTTGAGTAAAAATTGACTAACATTTTTGTCTGTTGGCTCCAAAATTAGGGTTCATTTCCAGATATAAAATTGGGCAAAAAAGGCTGGTAGTCAAAAGATTAAACATAAAACAAAACAATTACTATTTTTGATACAAATATCACATGATTTCAGAATAACCTTTTTTATATTTGTTATTCAAGAGTACTACATTTTGCCTGATTCTGATAAAATCTTTTATAAAATATTAAATACAATAATCTTTCTTCCGATTTCGACGTCAATCATTAATATTTCACTACAATTATGATGACGCAATCAATTCTCGGTTACAATGCGACTCTATAAACGGCAATATTTCAACAATGAAAACATGAAATCAGTTATATTTAGAATTTGCTGGCTGCCTTACTTTTATAATAATAACAAATTCATATTGACTTACACCAAGACAAGAAATCTAATAATCTACAATCAGATAAATACTTTCAATGCGGTTTGACATTTTATTTCTAGTAAATTTCACTGTGACTTCCAAATGAACTTTGTTTTCTTCAGCACTGATACATCGTTATCACACGCTGACTGCAAACACCTACTACTCTACTACAGCTGCTGTAACACCATCAAATCAAAGGTCAGAAATTATTCTTGGGAACATTTCTATTTTTTTTTAAAAGTTATTATCGCTGATCAATAACGGACGCAAACATGATGACTGGGACAATCATCCCGAATTCAAAGTTTTGATTGATTTGTCAAAAATGCATACCTTTGAACTTTGACCCTTGACATACAACATAAAAGGTCAATTTGAGGTTCAGTTTGATTTCCAAAACACCCACAATTCTGAGTACATGGCTAAAACGTATACTATCAAATGATCATGGTTTACTCATGCAAGACTCCGATACATGAAACATTTGCAAAAATCCATGGCATTCTAACAGAGTATGTGCAAAGAAATGAAACGATAATAAGAATGAAAAAAAATGGTATGAAATTTGAACATCATTCATAAAAAAAAAAAAAAAAAAAGTACAGTTAATAACATATTACATTGTATCGTTAATTTTATTATTTTTTGTTTTCTTTGTATACCATATTTTCTCTATTAGCAGCACATAAAAGAAGCAATTGCATAACAGACTGCACCAGTAATGCATTTTTGCTTAGGTGAATACAAGTAATTCTGATTAATAGTTGTAAAAAACAGATATTGGTTTGGTTACTTTTTTCTGAGCTTTTGGGGTAAATATTCCATAAATCAGTACGCATAAAAAACATACTTTTAATAGAGAAATACGGTATGTGCAGCTTTGACGATAAGTGATACCATATTCTTTCTTTACTCTGTCTGAAACGCATTTGAGGTCACCAGTTGACGTTAGTAAAGGTGCAAAAGACAAATTGTGCACATAAGTTGAATATGAAAATGCATTATGTTAGGTGATGAAAACAATACATTGCCATGACAACAATGGAATGCATAGTTAGTTGCTATGGGAACTACAGATATTTGGACACTACAATCACAGACCTGGTATGGTTGCGTGAACACTGAAAGTTTCTCGGGTGGGTTTAATTTCATGTCCTAAAGGGGTAAAAAACAAGATATATGCAGGAACATGAAGCAAAAGAAGAAAGGGGATAGGCAGTCTACTTTAATAGCGACATAAACAGCAATAGCCCTGCGTACAGTGCTGTGTGTACAGGGACGCGGT